GGTCTGTTCATTTTAAATCTGAGAGTCAAAGTCATTTTTCAATCCTGTACAGGACCAGGCCAAGACTCTGAACTGTTATCTTTAACTTAAGAACTACTGCAGTTGTTTGGCAGTCAAATGGAAGAATACTAAAGCACAGCATTTCTTAGACTATCAGTAACACCTGTTAAAATCCATTCAGCATCAGGAAACATAGAGCTGAAGTTCTGAAGACTGATATTGCACAATACTCCACCTTATGGATTTATCCTCTTATCTCCATCATTTTGTTACTTATGCATTGAAGCAAGCATTGTATGACTAACATAGTCCAATGCAGCAACTTCATTTGATTCCACTATTTAACAAAAATCAGGAGAAAATGTCACCCTACTTGTCATATGCAACCACATTCACTCACCAGCTGCATGAAACTCTGCCACCAAGGACTGCTTAAAGGTAGGTCCAGATTTGAGGGCAAGAAAAAATTTGAGACTCACATGCAATGTAACAACAAAATATTACCAGCAAGCCATCTCCGTGAAAATACTGTAAAATCTTTTTTTTGACAAAACAGTTGCCATCTTTTATCATCAATTAAAGTGTTTGGATTCTTCAAAGACTTATGAATGTCTGCAGGCTTGAACTGATGGCACCTATTTCTGCTGTTAGTGTAATGTCATACAGCTGTGAACTGCTTTTACTGTATTTAGTCAGTACCTCATTTCTATCTTGAGTATAATCTTTTTTGTTTGTCATTAGACATCACCTTATCCTACAACTGTCTTCTGTTTTCAAAGACACTAGCTCAATTTCGTTGTATGCTGCCAAAGTCTCTTGATAGAAGGAAGTGTTTTCCAGTGCGTAGCTGCTTATTGAAGTAAAATAGGTAAAGGCTCAAGGGTACTGGGACTTTTAAGAGTGAGTACTAAAGTTTTAAGAACCCACTGCATTTAGCTTGTATAAATGCAGGAATTCCCTCTTTCTTCATATCAAAAATGCTGTAATAAAAATTTAAAAATTCTGAAGTAGTCTGCCTGTTTTACTTTTTAGCACTTCAGTACTTACGGAACTATTTTCTCCAGTGGCCTCAGATTCTCCCAAGAGGAAAAAAAAGCCTGCAATAGTGTACTATTTTTCCAAACTTTTTTCATGCTATGATTACTTTTTTCATGGCTATTTTTGAAGACCAACTCCAAAGATGAAGATACTTTTAACATAAAGGCTGTCTACAAAAGCATTAGAGCAGAATAACATTTTATACTGTAAAGTCAACCTACCTGTTCTGTAGAAGTTTTAGCAAAAGCTTGTTATGCCCTTGATCACGAGCACAGAAGTTTTATTAGGTGAAGACCATGAGACTCAGAGCCACAGCAGGTGCAACTCCCTGCCTTTCAAAAGCATCAGATAAACCCAAAGAAGTTTTCAGGACTCTAGAGCTAGACAACTAGCATCTTCAAGAGCATAGACTCATTCCAAGTGTGGCAGCAGCTGACTCCTGGAGCCAGATAAAGACCTTGCACTGTAGGGTAACAGGAAAAATGAGATGGTAAAAATGTACAGATGCGAGTCTGGATATTCACCTAGGCCTGGTAGAGAGCCTGTAGCTGCTGCTCAGTGCCTAGTTCTGATCAAATGACCACTGTAAAAAAAAAAAAAAAAAAAGTACTCTTTCAAGGACCCTATTCCAAAGCTTCTCAGGTTGCACAGAAACCTCCTGTTTCCCAGCAGTGATTTAGCCTCTTGTCCTCTCTGTTTATAGTGTAGAGACAGCACCAACCTTTCCTCTCTCCTACCTCTGTAGGAAGAGGCCAAAAGAACTAGAAAGAGCCAGTGGTGGATGGAGTGCTGCTGTTTTCAGTCTGTTGTGCAACAGCACCATCCAGCTGTCAAACAAAAAAGTTATCAAACGTTCATGCTACTAGCCAAATTTGGTCCTTGTACCACAAACAAAATGAATAATTACACCTATTAAAAAAAAAAAACACAAACAAAAAACCTCAAACAAAAAAAACCCCACCAACCTACAGGTCCCTTCCCTGTTTCTGAATTAATTATTGATCCACTGCGTTATGTTTCCTGCATTAGTACACAAGAGTGCTTTAGCAAAACTAAGAATTCAGCCCAGTTTATTTCTGCCCAGTAAGACTGGCAGGCTACAGCTTACCTTGGTGTTTCAGTGAAGTGTGGAATATAAGCTCTCAGGTATGAGGAAAAGACCATTATCTTTGGCTCCCAACCAAAGACAGTTAATCACACCACAGAAATTAATGGAAAAAACTCAACCATTTCATACATAAGAGCCTATGTTTTAGCTATCATAATTTACCACTCGAGCTTCAGTAGTGAAAGCAAGAACAGCAACCTCCAGTGAGGGAGAAAAATGATGAAAACTCATACTCAACTATCAGATCACTCTTGAGAGACATTATGACACAAGGAAGAAAACTTCTTGCTCTCCCAAGATTTTTCATAAACTTGTGTTACTTAACAGTAACTATAAGGCATATGTAATGGAAATAAATGGCATTCCCTGCAACAGATGACTGATTACCTGAATTAAATCTACAAGTTCACTGCTTAAATTGCTCTCAGTTCTACACTAAACTCATTTTTGTTGTAACACCCACAAAGAGCTTACCATGTGTGTCCACTGATGATCAAGAAGTCTAATATTAGACTACTGTTCTTGCATTACATGTGCCTTAGCCTTGTGATCCTACATTCTTGCATGGATACTTGAAAGCAGGGAATGCATCTCCTTTTCTGACTTTCTGAAGTCCAGTACTAGTTCTTTACAAAGCAGCACAGGGCACCTATCTAAGACTGAAGATAAAAGTCAGTCAACCTTTAAAAGAAAAAGAACACTAGCAGAAACTTTCCAAATAAATATTGGCAGGAAAAAAAACGTAAATGCAACAGTTAACCTAGGAAAAAGAATTTCTATACTCAAAAAAAACCTGAAAGGAGAATGCAGGATGAGTGTAGAACACTGCACTTATGCAAAGAATGAGCATAACCACATCAAGAAGAGATGCTGTTTTTCTTTTGTATAAAATCTACTGTATGTTCCAATTAACATGAGCCCAGACTAAGAGCACACCAGCAGAAAAACATCAAGCACTAGAATAGTGGCTAAAGCCATAGGAGCAAAGAACATGCCTAAAGATATGGCAGAGGTGCCAAACGACAAACCAGTGCCAACTGGGAGAGAAGGTGCCCTTAGACAAGCAAGGCAGCAAACCCACGAGTCCAGAGAGACACAGCCCTAAAGACAAGTGGACAAGAGCTCCCCCAAATTTGCAGCTGAGAGAGGTATGGCCAATGAGGAGGTATTATGGCTAAGTTTGACTAATGAGAGCAAGGAGTTCTTCCACTATGACAAGGAGAACAGAGCACAAGACCTTCAAAAGGAGATGTATTAGAACACCATTGCAAGACTACATCATTAGATCAGAGACAGAACAAAGGTGCTAGAAAAAAGATGGAATGAGAACAGACCAAAATACTCAAATCAGTAAAAAAAAAAAAATTGGTGCCAAATGGCGGGGGAGAAAGACTGGTATGTAGGAGGGTATTGAAAGAAGGTGGCAATGAGGCAGTGGACAAAAGTAAGTCCTTAAATCTAGAATGAAAACTTCTTCTTGGTTCCACACTAGGAAAAAACAGTAAAATGTCAAAGTTTGCATTTGAGTGCAGAGAACGCAATTTGAAATAAAGAATCTGATGATTTTGATTGAAGAAAGTCCGTTTTCCTTGCCAGGAACTGACAAGAGAACTTGTGACATGGCTTGGAGGCTGCACAGCTATGCTCAGAGAATTGCATACTCAAAGGTATAGAGTTACACACTTATTCCAGAAGGGGTAGGATCAATCCATTTCAAAACTCAGATGTAGACGGAGAACAGAGAGGAAGAGCAAATGCAGATTTTGCATAGTTATTAGGAAGATCAAATAAGGAGGGGAGGTGCAAACAGCATAAAAATCCCAGCAAGCATAGAAATAGGCCTCCAGTGGAAAGAAACAAGGCAAGCCAGACAGGAGAAACAGGAAGCCATGAAGTCTTTCCAAAACAGTCTAAATAGAGACAACACTTTTACACCATCCTCTGTGAGGTCAGCCAGAGTTCTGCCAACTTGATCCCAGTAAGTACTAAAGGATTTCACATGGAACCTGAGCTCATGACAGTAGTTTTTCTGTTTTGCCACAGGGTTCAAGCTTTTAAGCCACGACATCAGAAGGCAAAAGCTAAGAAGACACTATCTCCACTAAACAGCACCTATTTACACTTACTAATTGTTCAGTTTAGTTAAGGAATCAATACTACTTAAGATTAGGGTACCCGTTCAAGTTGAGCTCTCTAGCCTTGTATGAGTAAGCATTTCCAAACCTAGAGCTTCAGCTGTCTAGAGTCTTAGATAGCTGTACTATAGTTAAACCTGCCACGTCACTCAGAGTATATGTTTACATGTCTGCAAGTCCCCCCCCCTCACCTGCCCACCAGCAAAGTATTTATTTACTATCCACAGAAAGTACTATCTTCACCACCTCTCTAACCTTGTAACAAGCAAAGCTTGCAGATCTGATTTATTGCAAGCTTCTGCTGTCACTGACAAGTACAGTGCCAAACCCAACGACAAGCTTGCTGCATTTAGGATTTTAGATTATGAACAGTCTCATTTAAACTGGGGACACAGAATACGACACACGTGGAAATAGTGATGAGATCACACATGGTAAATCCATACTGCTGGGCAGAAGAGCTGGGTGCATGAAATATGTTGCATGTACCAGCTTCTCAACCTGCTCCAGTCTCAGAACCACACCACAACACTCATCACCCCCTCTTTTCACTCAGACTTTCTGCAAGTCCCATTAATTTTATATTTAGCATTTCACAGCAAGCTAGTTTCTACTTCCAAGAGTATCTAGACATAAGCTGTGTTGACACTCATGTCTTCCAGTAAAAGGTCAAGTTCCTATGACAGGAAGTATGAATCAAACCAGAAATCTTATCCTAAAAAGCTCACACATTTCAAAACTTAAGATCTTATTTTAATCCAAGATATGACAACTGCAAAGTCCAGTTCATAAAACAGTAACTTGCTGCTGGTAAGTCTTCATATGTACAGAGAAAACAGTCAATTCAAGTTTCTAGTCAATAGGGTTTCCCCATTGATTCCAAGATTTTCTTTCTCTCATCTGCTGGGGGCATCTCTGGTTTCACACCATTTCTTCTCCTTTGCATCATAATGCCATGCTGAAAACAGAATAAAGTGATCATGAGAACAGATTTCTCAGAATCTCTGCTTCTGAGCTCCAAATGAACAAGATTCTTTAATAAAAAAAACCTCTTTAATATATCAAGAACCAGATACTCTGACTACCTGATAACTAAGCTTACTAGTACTGAGTTGAAGATATCTGATAGGTTACCCTGCTGCTTCAGAAGACAGTGAAATCTGTATTCCCATTAAACTATGTCAGACTAATGCACAATTGTCTGCAAATAGTTTTTTTGCAGTTTGCCAAGTATTTAAAGGCTAAGCCAAAAACTCTTTACTACTAGGGAAAGAAAACAGCAGAAAACACAGTTCCTCATTATACTTCTTTACCACAAGAGAGAAGGCAAAAAGAGTGAACTCTTCCTAAGAATGAACTACCAAATAAGAATGAACTCTTCCTAAACTTTATCTTAAGTTAAAGCAAACATGATCCAAAACAATGGAAAATCAGATAACCTCACCTTATCTCACAACTTTTTCATTGCCTTCATTTAAAAGAAAACTTATTACTAGAAATACCTGACTCAAATTCAGAGGGAAACATCAGATACTGCAAGAACACACAACCTAAGAGGGTAGACTTAGAAGAACTGAGTGAAGTGCTTTGATGTGCATCTGCCTAAGTCTTCCAGCAACACATATTGAGACTACCCGGACCCGTAAGTTATCATAAAGACAGCAGCAGTCAGCATTAGCTAAATCTGAAGGGTTCAGAAAGCAGTAATGTACTTAAAGCAAAACAGAGACTAAAATTTAGAAAGTCTACTGTGCTTACCCAGAATTTTCTGCAGTTTTTGTACTTCAAGAAATAAGCGGTACACATATCCTTCTTATAGTTGTTTTCATCCATACATTTTGTAGTGGCATCTGTTTCCTTTAATAGGGGAAAATATACTTCAGAGCTGAGGGAAGTTACTGTACTCAGTGTTTTAATATTTCAACAAGTCCCAGAATACCTATGAAGATAGGAGGCAGCTTCTCAGATGAAAGAATACTATCAAAGAGAGCAAAGGAACATCTATCACAAAGGATAATCAGTACTTCCAAGCAGTGACTTCATTTGGAGGTAACAGACATTAGTACTCTTTAAACAGTAAGGATAGAGTTCACAGAACAGTTGTTTACAATGATGCTTAGTATAACTCACAAAAGACTTCTAAAAAAATAACCAAGCTGGTCTAACCAGGATTTCAGGCCCTGGTTTTAAGGACAGAAAATTAAAAGAGATTGCTATCAGTTGTATCACTCTTATTTACTGGGAATTACTCATTATTTCATGCCTACTATAATGGGTGATTTTCAGCTCTTCCCACCTTTAGACTCTTAAACTCTTTATGCAAAATGCTATAACGTAAGAGTGTTATTCCTGAAAAAGGTGCTTAGAAATTACATTTAACATCAAAACATAAAAACAGATATCTCAATTTGATCATCTTACCGCTAGACATGGATTTATATCGTGATCTCTAAGCTTTTGTGCATGCCTGGACATTCTAGACAGACACTCGTACCTTGGATAGAAACAGAAAAAAAACAGGTTAAATATCTACTTTTAATAGTAACTCAGGGTTAAGTCTGAACTTCAACATGTAATAAAGGCCTTGTAATAACACAGAGAGTTTGGTTGCCTTTAAAGAAACCCAACGAGAGCCAAACCACTGCCAAACTTCTTTTGCAAAAATCATATTTCAAAAGCAGTAACAGCAAGAAAACTCAGGCAAGTTTAGCCCACCACCAAGACTGCTCACTCCCTGATGAATTTTTGCAGAGAATGGAGTCACTGCAGTAACTCTCACGCTAGCCTGTGGTATAACGGAGGAAGTGACCGTGTTTAGGAGAAACAGCTCCACAGAAGCTGCTCACAGCCAACACACTGTAGGCGCTTCAATTAATAGTGTGTGGGAGGAATGTACAAGTAAACTTTTCCAGATTTGTGCCTACTCCTTTCACTGGATCACATCTGTATCTTCACTGAGCTTTCCCAGGTACAACAACTACCTCCTGTGGTGCTGTATCAAATACTCAATAGAAAGAGAAGTGTTTTCCCCGCAAGGTGGGACCAGACCCACTTACACTCATGTGACAGCTTGAGTCACATTTTTCAACACTTTAGTAGTTTGACACTGACTCTAGGAACTGTAAGCTGAAGAGACACAGAGTTCAATGCCAAGAACCTACACTGATCCAAGATGATGACATCAAGATGAAGAGCAGACCCTCTTTCCCTTTACAACTTCCTATACATTGCCTCTGGCACACATATGGTCACGCAGGTATTTGTTCCAAACAAATACTAAATCTAAGCAAAAATAAATTAATGTTGACCAGATGACTGAGGCAATGCAAGCAGGAACAGGACTAGGGAGCAAATACTGCTGATGAAGGAAACAGAGCTGCACCTTTAATTTTTTTTTATTTTCCCTAAAAATTCTAAACTTAAACTTGTTTCTGTTCACATTAGGGAAAGATAATGCAAGTCTGCAGTAAAAAGCCAGTTTTGCTTAATACCAGCAAACAAAAATCAAATACTGTTCTTTGTAGTTCACAGACAGAAAACAGGAGTTTAGATGAGATTTCTTCCCAGGGTAAAAGTAAGCCATTCTCGGCAAACAAGCCCTAGATTTACATCCTGTGCATGTATACTCTCCTGATGCTCAGAGTGCTCTCTGAATTCCACACGATAGTCTTCTGCAAATGGGCCTTTTAATGAAGAGCATTAGGAAACCCTTCAACTTTCCTTTGAGAACTATTCAGCTTTTAAGTTAACTTTACAAGCTAGGCAAATGTTTGCTTTTTTTGTGAGTGCAAGAGCATTTTTGATCAGGCACTTCCAACTCAAATGGAAACACATGCAGGTATACTAATAACACCCCAGACTTCAAGAAAGGAGGAGGGAGAGGAAAAGAAGTAGAAAGCAAAAGCAGCATATCACAGTGCCTCACTTAAGTCAGCATAAAAGACACAAATGTTTTAGATGTTTGTTTATGTCTGTAACTCTGCATTTCACTGATATTACCATCTAAGCAGACATGCCACAAGGTGCACAGTATTAGCCTGACTTCAGACTTACTCTCTGAAAGAGTGTTTGTGAGTCATAGGATGCGTTGTCATAATCAGCGTTCATTACACAAACTGCACTTAACGCTTTCAGTTTGATTACACTACCGGAGTCTGCAACCGTGACCGGTTTAAGGAACAATGCACACAATGCATTAAATACATCTACTAATGAACAGGCAGTTTAGGTCCTCACGAAGCTGCTTAGCTCAGAGCAGGCAAGTGCTTAGACATTTTTAGTACTACCGAAAAGGTCTGACAGCTCCTGCCGCGTGTTCCTCTCCCTCTCTCCGAAGTACTTCAGGACCTGAAACATTATCAGCTGGAAGGGCAGGCAGGTCGCGCCGAAATGCCGCCGTGTGACTGAATGAGCAGTTGGGCAGGAAGCGAGCTTCCCCCTCCTCCCAGGTTTTGCACATGCACAGGCTTCCCTTCCTGCTTTCAGATCACAGGTCAGAACCCAACCACAACCAAAGGCCTGTCTATTCCGCAGTTCTTAATTATGCTTTGACACATTAACAGTTGTAAACTGTACCAGAGAGAACCAGGGCTGTTGCTCGCACTCTTTAGCCCTTGGGCTTTTTCAGTTCATAAACCCATCAGGGCACTTCTCCACAGGCTCCCTCCCATTGAAAAGCGCTTGGTGTGTTCTAAATGCACATATATGCATGCAAAATCGCTAATTATGCTGCAATACAGACCAGCTTATTAAACTTCGAACCCTGAAGCCAAGGCCGTATTATAAACCCCACGGCTTTCACCGCGGCGGAGGGGGGCGGCAGGCGGCGGGCCCGGGCGCACGGTCCCGCGGAGCTGCCGCCCGCCCGGCCGGCCTCGGCCTCCCGGGGGGGCCATCCAGGTGCCCACCGCCCGGCCCCTGCCTTCCCCTGCCGCCGGTGGAGCGGCCGGAGGCTCCCGGCGCCCCCTTCCCCGGCCCAGGTCGCTCCCCGCGGTCGGTCCCGCTGCCGCCCCCCGGCACCACCTGCCGCCAGGGAGCGGTGCCCGGGCCGGGCCGCGCCGCCGCCGGGCCCGAGCGGGGCTGTCCCGGCCCGCGGGAGGCGAAGAGCGAGCGAACCTCCCGTCCGCCGGCCGGGAAGAGGGAGCGGCGGCAGGCACAGCGCGGGTCGCCGGCGGCGGCACTCACCTCTCCGTCCCCGGCCGTGTCCGCGGGAGCGCGGGGCGGGAGGGGGACAGCCCGTCTCCAATTCGAAAGACGTCAGCGGCTCGGGCAGCGCGCTTAAGTACGGGCGCAGCCTACCCCGCTCCCGGCCCCGCGGCTCCCCCCGGCCCCGCGCCGCCGCCGCCCACGCCCCGGCGGTGCTGAGTGGCACGGCCGGGCCGCCAATGGCGGCGGCGCCGCGCCCGCCCCGGCCGTGAGCGGCGCCTCCTTCCACCAACGGGGCGGGCGGCGCGGCCCGCAGGCGCCGGCGGCGGGGCGCGGCCGCGGCCCTGACTGACTGGGGGAGGCGTCCAACCCGCGGTGCGTGTGGGCGGCGGGCGGTGTGGGCGCGGCGTGTGCGGCAGGCTGGGCTGCACCGCAGCGCATACACTACAATGGCTGCTGGAAAGACGGGAAAGCAAACAATTTCCAGGCCCGCCGCGTCCAGCCCGAAATATGGGGAAAAAATTACAGAAAAATCGGAGAACACTGTAAAGGGTGGAAACGGGGCGCAGAGGGGATGCTGAGGCTCCCGCGGTGAGTCTGCTGCGGGTTTGGGGGGCAGGCGCCGGGGTTTAGCAGGGAAATATCAGGGTTATTTAAATTATGAAGGGGGAGGAGGAGAAGGAGGGGGGAGAGGAGAGAGGAGCAGCGAGCAGTGAGGAAAAGTTTGTGTTAACCATCCCTCGCTTCCATCCCTCTCCCCCCCCATCTCCCGCAGCCCCCCGCCGCCCCGCGTCGGACTCCCCCCACCCCCACCCCCCCCACGAGGGGAAAAGCAGGGGAGGGGAGGCGAGGCGAGCGGTGCCCCCCCTTCCCCTCCCTCGCAGGGAGAAAGAGATGATTTTCAGAAAAACCTCTCTCAGGAGTTTCCTCCACTCCTCCCCTCCCTCCCCGCGGCGCTATGTTGGTTCGCGAGCGAGCGGGCGAGGCGGCGGGGCTGCCCGGGGGACGGCAGGAGGGCGCGGGGTGCCCGCCGCCGACCCCCGCGCCGGGCCGGGGCCGGGGCCGCGGGGCAGGGGCAGGGGCAGGAGCTGCGCGGCCGCCCCCTCCCCTCCTCGCCTCTCCGGAGCCTGTGCTGTGAATGCAGTGACAGCGGCGAGAGCGGCGAGAGAGGGAGCGGAAGACATTAGAGACCGCGGTGCCGAAAAATGAGGGAAAAAATTAATATAAATTCGCCCACCGCCTCAAACCGGACAAATTTCGCACAGAAATTTCCCCCGTGGACCCGGCTACCCGTGGGGTGTCCCCCGGACCTGGCGGCTGCGGCTTTGGGGGGATCCGGAGTGACTTTGGGGCACTCGACCCCCCTTTCCCGTCGTTTTTTGGACAAAAGTTTTTTTTTTCGTAATAAAGAAACGAATTTGCCTGCTCTCCCCCTCCGAGTGGCCCAGGAGCTTTTCCCTTCCCCATCGGTGTGTGTTTAGAGAAAAGTGTGAACCCAAGTAAGTGCTGAGTCGTGTTGCATTGGGGAGGGGGGTTTTGCTAACTGAAAGCAGGAGAGATCCGGAGAGAGAGAGAGAGAGAGCAGGGACAGCTTGTTGTCAGTATCATAAACAACCAAAATGGAGGGAGAACTGAGGCATATAACAAAATAAAAATCAGAAAAAAATGCCAAAAAATACCTAAAAATCGGGGCTGCTCCCCCTTTTCTTCATCAAGGTAACAGAATAAAACCCGTGTCTTCCCGAGACCGTTTTAAGGTTTCAGGGAGCAAGGAGTTAATATTTATTATTTTTTTTTTGTTGATGAATTCTTTGGAAAGGCAAAAGCCTCTTATAACTCGCCACCGACAATGAGAAAACGTGAAAATCCCTTTCAGGAGAGAGAGGTAGGGGGAGATGATGGTGCAGAAAGTGTGTAACTTGGGGGTAATGTGGAGTGATCCTAGATAAGATAAATGCTTTATGTGCTGCTTTATAGCTTCTTTTTTGAATGCTTTTTTGGTATGTTTTCGGGGGGTTTGGGGAGATGGGGGCTCTTTTCTTTGCCTCTGTCTTTTTCTTTCCTTTTTTTTTTTTTTTTTTTTTTTTTTTTTTTTTTTTTTTTTTTTTTTTTTTTTTTTTTTTTTTTTTTTTTTTCGGACCGGAATGTAATGCCTTTGTAGTGTCACTTTCCTGATCTAATTAGGATGTGTGAGGCAAAGAGTAAACCTTTCCGGTTTATAAAGTGCATTTTCGTTGCCTTTGAATTTCAAGTTTTCCTGGTAGCTCCCTTTTCTATTTAAACTGGATTCTTCAGAGTAGTGTGAGGTTGAGGTTATGCTCCATAGGGAAAGAAGAGAGGGCTCTGGGGCAGGGCACCTCTTCTGCGGATGGTTGCTGATTTCCCTGGCACGTTCAGTTCACCTGTTTGTCTCCTACAAAGAATGTATTCTGCAGTCTCCTCGTTTTATTTATGTAAAATAATGATGCCTCATCTCACCTCACATTGAAGTTAATGCGAAAGTGCTGCTGATGTTGGTTCCACGTGGGATCAGGGACATAGCAGGGCATTTTAAAGAGACAGCTTCTCTTTTCCTATGGTTATCATCACCTCTGCAGCACCTCTGCCTCTAGCAGAGGGATGGTTCGTTGTTGATTTTTTTTTAATGGAAAGCTATCAAGTCGAGCCTGGTCTGATAAATTAAGACAGGATAACGTGCAGATTCGTTGGGATCAAAGCAATTCTTTTGTGTGTAGCAGGTCTTTAGGGGAGTTTTCTTGGTGTGTTAATTGAAATGCTGTGTTTTGGAGAGTGTTTTTTGGAATGCGTGTTACAGGAATTAGTCTCAGGTTGTTTAATATGAAGACCTAGTGCTGTTCTGCTAGCTGTGAATTCCCTGGGAGGAGATGAATTCCCTATGTGTGTAGGGCAGTTTCACAGACATTTTGTAAAAGTTGTGAAGTGCATTATTTTTACTTTGAGTAAATTCAGTTTTGTTGGGAACACCTGAGTTTGTTGAAAAGCTTGTTCTCTACTTGGATCTCCTGAACAGTCCCCAAAGGTTTTGAGAATAGTGAAGGTAACTGTAGGTTTTAATTGGCCAAAGTAGGGGCTCTTTACAAGTACACTTTAGCTGTGTAGTTATAACATCACTTGGAAGAATTGCCTCTGGCTTTGTTTAAAAAAAGAAAAATCATCCTAACTGTGGTCTAGTTTCATGTATTTGTGTGCATGTGTGCATGCATGCGTGCTTTTAGCATGGGTTCTGGCTGATACAGTTTTTTTGCTTGATTTTTAACTTGAAAATGTTTAACTGTAATGATGTGAAATGCTCTGCTTATCCCTATTATCTCCTATGTATTTTAATTTTCAGTGAAATAGCCTATTTAAAAAAATTAACATCGCCTCTTAACATGGCAATTTTATATCTTAATGAGAGTTACAATGTTTCATTTACATTTGCTTTGGTTTTTTTAGTCTTTGTATTTAGTTCTAGATTGAAAGTTGAATACAGATATGTGGTTCTTGAGAGCAAAGCTGAAGTACTGAACTTGTAGGCAGGCTGTTTCAGCAAATGTTTTCTTTGAATTTGTGGAAGTTGAGTATCAGTTGTGATAGCCGTCCTTGTTCAATAGCATGTGCTCACAAATGATTTGTACCTTTACTGCAAGTGTGACCAAAGAAGCTTGTTGTCTAGGATAGCCGGGTGGTTAAAAATTTGGGAAGAAATCTCAGAGTTTCCCAGTGACTCACAGTTGTGAAAATTAAATCACATTAACTACTTTTAGGCTAGGAAAAAAGGCTCATTAAGGAAGAAAGATTAATCAGTTTGTATAAAGGAATGAACTTGAACATTTTTCCAAAACTACCTTTTATGGTTTAGAGATCTCTTCTATAGTTAGCAAAAATTCAAACTTAAAAGTTCCTTTCTGAATATTTCTTAAACTGATCTATTACTTTTATTGACTGAAGTAACATTACCCTGGAATGCATAGAAATTTGATAAATTAATAGCGGTACACCATGTGTAGGTGGTTTTAATGTACCAGGGTAGATAGACAGATAGTAGTAGATGTGCAGAACTAACTTAAATAAATTAGTTAATGTATTGAGAACAGTATTTAAGAACTCTTCAAATGCTGTATCTGTGGCCATCAGTATGAAGTGTTTAGTATGTTACTGTTTTTTTACCCAATTAAGAACTTAATCATTATTATTGTAATGCTGAAAATAGGTATAGGCACTGGTAATAACAACATGAAAGAAGCACGTGTAGTGCAGTGTATTTCTTGACTTACAGCTATGTATTACAAAGTAAATTCAGTGTATCCAACCATAGTATAAAATTCAGGACATAGGGAGGAGGAAGAGGAAAAGGTGTTCTCACAGAATTTGATACTGTTCTAAACTGGGTTTAACTTTAAGGTGCAGTCCAGATGGTGATAATAATAGGAGAAAATAAATTTTGTTTAGGATTATTTTTTTACAAACTTACTGTCTTTTGTGGGAAACTGAATTTTTCTTACATTGATGAAGTGGTGGTTGTTTTTTTTTTTTTTTTTTAAATAAAAATAGAAAGTATCTTTCAAAGCTTCTTTAGTTCTAAGAGTTAAGAAAATCTCCTGTATTATGAGTTGGTCTGATTCTATACAAGATACAGTATGATTTTTTTCAAGATTTTCTAAAATTAAAACACTTGAAGAAACAAATGCTATGGGCTGTTGTTGGTAAAGTTACCCTACTTTTTGTAGGTAAACTGGAGAGCTGTGAATGTATTAAAATCCTTCTTAGATACTTATCATTCCTGTTCAATACCGTTTAAAAGTTAATAACTACAGTATTCTACAACAGTACAAGCAAATACAGGAATCTAAATTGATATGCATTCACCTTTGCTTGAGTGCTTAGTTCAAATGTGTCTTTTGGTGTGTACTTTTAACTTGGTAATTATCCTGAAAAAATTAGTTTCCCAATACAGAACTTTGAGATTTAAATTAAGAAACCTTTCAAAAGTTTGTGTAATTCCAAAAGGCACTGCATACTAAGCACAGACACTTCTAATGGTTGTCCATCTCTGCAGCTAGTTAGTCAAAATGGTGCCCTAAAGTCTCCTCCTTTCAGGATATTACATGTGTTTTAAAATTAGTGGGTTAAAGAGGGTACTGCTCATGTTCTAAATAAACCACTGTTTGCAACTGTTCAAGGTTATTTTGTTAAAATAGATGTTTTACTTCAGAGTCTAAAACATAAGTTTTTAAAATTTTTTTATAAAATTGTTTGTAATTGTTAAAACCAGTTTTTGTGAACAAATGCTTTTTGGGAAGGTTCTTGAACAACTTTATGTGTTTAGCAAGGGGAGATAATCTAGAAAACATGAAATATGTTAGAGCACTTAGACTATTCTCAAATCAGTGTAGAGTTGAAAGGAGCTAGCAGTCATCACTACTGAAGTGATAGAGCACTTGCTTTCATGGAGATATTCTCCAAATATCTGCTACTAGTAAGGATTTAGCTTGCAGAGCTTTTGGAAAAAAAATGTGCAGTATTTATCTACTGAACTTCTAAGCATCTTTAACCAATTACCAAATGTTTAGGTAGCCTTAAAAAACTAT